AATTGAGAGAACACGGTTCTGGCTGCTACGGGTTCCCCGTATGCCTACAATTAGGAGTAGTGGTAGGTAGGTAGTGTGAGGTGAAATTGAGAGAAGAACAACAACAAGGACAGCCGGGTTATCCCACCCCAGGGGGAGCTAGGAGCCCCGTCCCTGTATACACAGTCTTCGCACTTCGCACCCATCCTTCAACGCCAGCACTGGCCCTGACAATAGGAGACAAAAGAAAACACATCACCAAAAAACCTACACGGAACACAACAAGGCACCAAATGTAAAAGAAGAAGACACTCTATCGACTACGACCAACAAAGGGTGAGCTGCCCAATGTTCCTGAAACCAAGCAATACCCTTGGTCGGCGATGAAGCGAAGGAAACTTTTCTGTATTGCCAGTCTAAGTGCTTGTTTGGCATGGATCTGCAACTCAGCGAGCGTAGTGAGGTCTCGTGCCAAACAGCCTCGTTTTGGGCTTTCCAAATGATCCATAGCAAAGCTCCCTGTGTGGCCTCAAACACATATCGCAGGGGTGGAGAAAAATCTGCCACCAGAGAGCCCAAGAGTATACCGTCAGTTGTCCAGACCTGAGACAGGAACCCTGAAAGGGGCCCAATTTCTCTCCACCAAGTCCAGAAAGCCTCAATAAGTGGGCAAGCCACCAAAGATGGATCAAATCTTCTACACGGTATCCACAGGTAGTGGGGGGGTTAGGGAGGTACAGTGACTGGACATTGCTCGGCGCTAGCACCGCCAATTTCCCCCACCGGCAATGCCTGCCCACCCTCGTCACCGTGATGAGGGACTGGTATGAGGGACTGGTACAGCCTTGCTCTTGCACTACTACTGTGATGCCAACCTACCCCCTGAGCTGGTGAGAGATCCGGGTTGGTTGGTGTGATTCAGGTTGGTTGGTGTGATGTTCCCCCGTTGTGACGCCCAACCTCACGCCCAGCGCGACTTCCTGATCGGAGTGGAGTGTGGGCCTGGAAGTGCGAAAAGGGGTGTGCCAAGGATTTTGGGGGGAAGTGGGGGAGTCTTAAGGATACGAATGCAATTAGGCGAGCGAGGGGTGCGCACGCAAGGGTCTCACAGTCCGAAGGGGCCGGGACACTGTGGGCGACGAGTTACGGGAAAATTCCTCCCTGGTGGAGGTGGTCCCGGAAAGTTAGGCCGTCGGGGGCCGCCACGTGGCGCAGGCCGCCGCGTATTTGGGTTGGGCCTTCGGAATTCCGGAGTGCTCGGCGCGCCACTGCGTCGGCAGTTCACGCAAAACGTATTGGGCCAATAGGGGGCTATGGCCGGCCACGGAACGACACTGAGTTGATGATACGGGAGAAGGAGGCGGAAAGGAGGGAAACTGGTGGTGATCTCAATGAATCCTGGGTGGGTGAAGTAGTAGGTGTGGTCGGGGGAAGGGAAATCGGAGCACCGAGGGTCGTTAGTGGTGGGACAGTGGAATTCCCGCGGACATAGTCGATTCTCCATGTGACAAGGGTATGGGGTCCTTATGAGCTTGTTTATTATAGGGGTGAAATAGTCCGGGTCAAAGGACGAGTCTGAGCCCCAAGATCGCGTCATGGTATCATTGTCGATGGGATAGCGCGGGTCGGGATATCGTCACCGCGTACGAGCACGTGTAGGACAGGCCGACTCAGTGGCGCCTCATCATGCTCGTATGGGATGATGGTTCCGTCATGGTTCCCTTCGGGGTGAGCGAGTCGACGCGCGGGAATGCGTGTAAGGGCGCGACTCGGATCGTGTTTACACGTGTTCTCGTGCGGCGATCACGGGGCCGGACTCCGCGCCTAATTGCTTCGTAAGTCTCGGTTAGGCAAGATGCAATCGTACCACAACCTCATCAGGGGACAAGCAAAAACGAAATCGACATCGGGGCCAGATTCTTATCCCATCTATCGCTACATCCGGTGCAAGCAAAGATTCGGCCCAAACAAAAAGCAAGGGCAGGGATTTTCAGCAAAAAGATAGACAAGCAGTCCCCTCATCCGTACATTTGACAATCATACACATAATGCAAGCAAAAACGGACATCGCGAAGACAAATATGAGCAAAAGTCCAAGCCCAGATTTCAGAAAGCCGAAACGAAAAATAAGAACGGGCAAAACCGCCCGGAGCCGCAATCAAAATGTATGTACACAGATGAAGAGGGGGAGGAAACAAAGAAACGGCAAATCCGCGTCCATCGACCTCAACTCTCTTCTTCTCTCTCTCTCTCCGATGCGGACAGCCCGTCGTCGCGCACCAACCCACGAAGTTGTCACCCCGCTTGGTCCTCCCACACCCGTCGGATTCGCCCGTGCCCACAGTCCGTCGTGGCCCACGTCAATCCCGCGCGTTCGGCACCACCCGTCGGGTCGCCCAACTCCTACTCTACTCACTTCTTACTTTGCTCATGTGCCGACCCTTCCTGATCGCGCAACCCCGAGCTTCCAACAACGGGTTAAGAGAGCTGACTAATCGCGCAGCCGAAATTTATAGCCTGCATGCATGCGCGAAGATCACGGTGTTACCAAGACTTAGAGTGAAGAATAGAGAGGGAACGCATGCGTTCTGCATGATCGGCCGCGGCGTGGGGAACGTAACCCTTCTCCACGCATCGATCCGAGCATGCAAGCCGTGGCTTACAAAATGTTAGCAAAAGAAAGAGAGGGAGGGCGGGAGAGATGAAGTGCAAGAAGAGAGATATAGTTACAGTGGCGCCCGCGCAAAATTACAGTTACACATACGATTAAGGGCGCCCACTAATCAGAGTACCGTTGCAGCCGCATGAAGAAGTGCGTAAACAAAAGGCGCCGCGYGGCATGAAAAATCCTAATTACTGAATTCCTAAATTCCTATCTAATGCGAAAAAGCAAAAAGCGCGAATTCTAGAAGGAAAGTTCGAAATTCCGGGAGCCATTAGGGGCTCGACAAAATTCAAAAAAAAGATTCAAGAGGAGATTTTAAAAAGAATGAAGCAATTTCCCGCGCGATGTCCGCGCCCAAAAGATCGAACCCGAAACGAAAAAAACGACGTCAACATTTGTTAATCGCGCGCGTGGTGGCGCGCCAGACATCCATCCGACCGATCACTCAACCGGTCGTCCCAGGACACACCCAGCCCCGAAGAAGCGACGAAAAAGACGAAGAAGCAAGGGTACTGATGCAATTTTCCACCGATCCCGATCTCCCATAATTGGCCCAATCTTCCCATCTTAGGACCCCTTATTGCAACCGCGCAAAAAATCGCGCATTACAGAAAGTGGTTCGTCACACCGTACTATGGGCCTCGCCGCACTGCTCTTGGATCTTGAGAAATCAAGAGTTCATCACCACTGCACTAACTCTTGATGCCGCATCCTGAAATTCCATTCAAGAGCTGTCAGATCCACTTTCGAAAACGTCGGGAGTGAGTCATCGTTGTACTAACTGTGGAAAAGTGATCTTGGTCCGGCCCTTCAAGAGGTGTCAGAAACGGCCCATCGGACGAGCTCTTGAAGCTTCCACAGTTCCCACCTGTAGGGGCGTTTTTTTCAAAGGAGGCTGACCGGCCCCTTCGTGCGGTTTGCAAATTCAAGAGTTGGCCTCCAGTCTCGGTGGACAAATCATCGCGGCCCTATAGTGTAGTGTCTTTTCAGTTTTGTCCTACAGTCAAGAATGCTCACGAGAGTCGAGAGTCCGGAGTAAGTGCAACGACGACAGCACTTGATGCCAATCCAGGAGTCTGATAGCGCTAGACTTAGGGCCTCGGCACACCACTCTTGAAACGGGGAAATATGTCAAGAGTTGTCTGCGTTGTGACGAACCATTTTCTGTAATCGCGCAACTTTCTGCGCGAAGCTGCCATTTGGGGAAACAAGACGGGTCAGATGGGTGAAGTTGTGGAGAGATGGGTCGGTCGGGCAAGTTGCATGCATACCCACGTTCCCTTTTGTTTTCTGTGGAAATCTGTCGGGTCGGTATCGGGAAAGTCCAGCGCCGACGATTGGGTAACCGCGCCTTAGCGAGCGCAATGGACCACGGTTGCCATGGCCTCTTTCTTGTTCTGCTGTGAGCACTAGGAATTTTTGGCCTGATCATTGCGCAGGAATGTCGTTTCTTTTTGAATTTTCAACTGATGTCGACATTGTCGAGCCCCCACGGGCTCGCGGAATTGTTTTGGGCCTCTTCGGAATTTCTTTTTGCAATTAGGACTTAGGCTAGGAATTTAGGTACTCTGAATTTTGTTGTGCAGCGCTTCTCACTCGCGCACGTCTTGCTGCGGTAGGAACTGGGCTCTGACTGGATCGCACCCTTAATCTTGTA